GGATTGTTTGAAATCGTGAAGTAAATAAACTCTATACAAATTCAACAAATTGGATTAATTCAATAAAGATTCATAAAAGATTACAGCAGGAAGAGGAAGCTTAGATCCATGGTTGAAAAATATAAATATTTGCTCCGCTGGACGATGCTCGCTCCGGAACAAACGAGAAGCCGTATGAACAGCCGTATTGTCTAAACAAATCAATAGGAGAGAGAGGGCTGATTGCTTTCATGTGCTACAAAGCAAATTAAAGTGTGCATATTTGCACTGCAGCTCTAGACACAAATAGAGCCAATTATTTCACATAAAGCGATCATGTAAATATTGCAGAGTCGTTTGATCAAGATAATTTTGGTTCCATCGTTATACTCAGCGATAAATGAGGTCCAATTAATTTTGCACCGAGCGCAAGACATCAATACTGTAAATTGGGCAATTATGAATTAACTTAATAAGGATTTTAGGTACTTAATATAAAGCAGTCATGTTTTACTTAAGCACATGACTGGCGGCATTCCGCAAGGAGGTCGCTGTGGGCGGGCTCGGGCGGCAAGGACCGCCGCCTGCGCAGGTCTGCTCAACTTTTATTGTTAACGCCGCATGCAAATCATAATCTGTTCTGTCATTGAGTTTTTGTAACGTAACATAATTAGTGGTCGCACGTGGGCCGCACGCCGAGTTACTACAAGCCTATATGGTGAGACCACTTAGCACGCCAGATAAAGATCACATTGAACGTAGATATGTTTTGTACGGACGTTTACGTCATTCGTAACGTCTTATAGGATCACAGTTTTATCGGTTCCGAGATTTATTACGTGAATTGTATGGAATACAAGATATTATTTCCTGTTTCGAGAGAAAGTGCAAAGACAATACAGCCATCGTAATGATGATTTAATTTAGCTGATATTGTTCGGGATTGATGCAATTAGAAACTGACCCTGAACTAAATTATTTCGCTATATACATAATAGGTTTAGAGATAACATCCTATGAAGATATAATAAATAACAATTGATAGCAGTCACACTATGACTTGTATCGACAGCAACATTTCAAAACAGTTCCGAAATAATGTATGACGTGAAGCCCTTTCCCCTGCGCAGTTTTACGCAAACTTCCTGTCAATTTATCCCTATAAATGTTGACGTTATACATAATATATTGAAAGGGGCGAGCATAATTTATATGGTCCGAGCGTGGGTATACAATCGAGCAATAGCAAGCGTGTCGGTTAAACACTGCATTTGTTGGTAGATATGAAATAACTCGTAAAAATTGGCTTTTTTAATACAGAACCGGTGTATGCTCACTATAAAATGGTTGAATCATATAAGGATCGACGTCTTAATACTCAGCAACAACAATAATTGGTCATTGCCACCACACGACAGGTGTGTACCAGTTGGTTTCAGACATTTCCTTATTGTGCCAATGTATTCCAGTTATAGCTTTAGCAAATTAAAAGTCGATGTGGTATTAAACCATAAAAACTTGATGTTTCTGTTAAATTGAAATGAAATATATTTTTTGATAATGAATATTTCGATTGAAAGAGACAAACAACTTAGCAGCCGGTGTTCAAAAGTAAATGCATTTGTTCAGAGATCTTAGTAAAGCGTTTGATTGGTGTAACTTCTTATATTCGAATAATTAGCTTGGGATTATTACAAGACTATCACACACGTTACAATGGCAATATGGCTACTTTATAGCTTAACAAATTGTTGCCATACACGCAATTCTAGGTGGGGTTCCTACAATCATAATATCAATTCAAATTCAATATCAAATTATCTTAGAAATTTATTAGTTTAGAAATTTGATTTCAGGCAAATAGCGAAATGACCTAATTGTTATCTACATTGCTCATTGAGTTGGTAGTGTTGGAAAACCATATTCTCTTTTTACAAGTATTAAATTCATTGGATATCATAGCTGTGATTTTACTAGCATTTATTAAAACTCACTTAACATGCATGGAAACTTAGATTAAAATCATGCAAATGCTTAAGGAAACGCAGTAAAACACAGCACTATTTACAAATTTCATAGAAAAAAAAGAGTACGAATAAGAGAATTCCGCGTGTTGGTAAAATTGGACTAATATACCTAATATTTTTTTTATTATGTAATCAAAGAATGGCTACTTACATATAAACTACAATTTCACCCACATTACACTCAACACACATTTTGGTTTGTTCTTGACCTAAAATTCTCTAATTATAATATCGATTGCGTCAAATTCTAGCCTAAATATGTCATCGAGCAATTAATAGTTCTGAGGGAGCTTCAAGGTAACTAATTAAGTTATTGTAGGTTAGTAGGTCTTTTTCTTCTAATTTGGAAAGGTTTGTAGTAGCAGTTCGAAAGTGAGATGATAGGAGACGATAAGACAAAGAGAGACAATTTGAAACGTAAATAGAGTGCTGGCTGGAAAAATATTAGACTGTGTTAATTCTCACGTCTCCAGTAATATGATACCTATACGTAGCTCTACTGGCTCTCTCAGTCACACGACCGTCACAATGGGTAGTATTTAATTTCATAACACTAGCTGTAAGCCTATAAAGAAACCAATTGGTTTGTAAACAAAGCTTACTGCTTTATTACAATGTAATAATTTCCTGGTTTCCATCCCAAACTTTTTGTACCTTATCATAGAACATAAATCTAACTTAAAGTCGATTACAGCGTGCTAGTATTGGCAACGTATATGCTACTTTATAACTCAGTCAAATGTCAAGTTTTATATGCAAACCAAAATAAAATTTTTAACACGACCTGTTTCTTTAGTAATAAAAATGTATAGGGACACCCGCTTTCGTGTTAAGGGTATGCTTAAATCCGAAATCTAATTGCCAATGTAGCCAAACCACCTAGACTGTGGATCCCGAAGGTACCCCAAGAAACGAATGACGTTTAGTAACGACAAGGTAATACGAAAATGGTATTACATCTTTGAACAAGAGGTTAATCTAAATTAAGGAAATAGAGGAAAAAGGTTTTGTTGGGAAAATCTTCATTTTAATGACCGACAAGAAACTTGTATACTTAAAGTGATGGTCAATTTCAAACAAATGATACATATATTTACTTAAAATAAAGAAATAACAAACAGCCATAGTGTTCTGTATATATGGCGAGTAATTAAAGTCAGTTGTAGCGGCCTTCACGGTGTTTTAATTGAATTGTTGTGGTAACTTTATATGGGCTGAGCGGCTTACTTATCAAGCTAAGACCCTTACCTAGTTGCAGGGATAAGTGACCATAATACAGGGATTCCCTTCATTATAAGCTTTGTTGTGAATCTTAAGGACAAATCTATACATCCGGAAAAAGCTTAAAGCGACGAAACAATTAAGATAGAGGAGAAATCGCAAAATTATCTGGTTAATAAGCACGTCAGAAATTCCCTGGTGACAATCAACATAGGATTAATTCGGAGACATTATTTTCTTGCTACTTGCTCATACAACATGTTTATCCTTTCCTCGTTTTCTCGTGTCTACCTTGAACTCTGGCGTTAAATATCTATTGTCTCTTTCCACTCTTTCAACGCGCTTGCTCAGGTCATCAGACCGTGCCTTTATACTACTTACATTTTTTAAAACTCGGTCAAGGGACGGTGTTTGCCACGCTTTACTTAGATGTGGTTATGTAATATTGTTATGCGTACTGATTTTTATATCATAGTTGTTGTAATCAAAAGTAAGAACAATTATGTGAGTTAAAGTATGTATAGTTGATCTGTCTAATAAGAATCTTTTCTCCCTACGCATTGACCAAGTTTATCTAATAGTGTGTGTACACAATGATCTAACCTATTTCCACATGAAAAGTTTAATCACAGAAAATCACTTTATTATGTTAAACACTGAACTCTATAGCTCTGAGAGAACACATGTTCTAAGGCATGACATTCACATTATCTTTCTAATTGTTAATTTACGATGAGGATAAGTGATTTACAATACAAGACGAGCACGGGTGTGACCAATTGCGTTCTCCAAATATGTTCTAGTCAATTAATTTCACTGAATGTCAAATGTCTAAGACATATGAGACAATATTGTTAAGATTTTATTTTAGCTTGTCGTGCACAAAGTCCTGACAACGTGCCAAGCCTCCAACGAGTGATTCATGGGGTTAGCCCATGGTAATTTAAATGAGCAGAAATTTTAATGAAGTGGGCAGCGAGCAAGATAATGTTCTTCATTGAAATAGCGACTTAGAGGTAGCAACCTTTTTAAAGTAAAGATGTGCTGCTATTCATCTGAAGGGTTATTTTTTCAAGGCTTACAGAGCAAATTGATCACGATATCTTAGTAAGTATACCCTTTGAGAACATTCTAGAGAAAGCTACAACCTTAACCTTTAAGAGATGCACGGAACACAATGCTCCCTCTAAGCGAAGCGGAACCGGCGACGTCGGCGACTCAACACACGTGAGATGCAACAATTGCACTACAAACTAGTGTTCTTCTTTATTTTTAGCACAACCAGGTCAAAACTTGACGAGTTTCGCCAAGAAAAAAACGAACATACAGCTTTAAAGTTTGCATGATAAATACATCTTTGGATGACAACAGAAAATAATGTTGCACGAAACGAACTTTCTTTTGCAGTAAATTTTCAGGTCGATGTACTTTCAGAATTGAATTTTATTGTACTACTTTATTGAAAAATGAATTTATGAAATCGTATCTCATTACATTTTCAGACGATTTAGAAAATTCAATGGTTCAACGGTATTGTAGATTAGAATTAAGTATCTATGAAAAGTTTATCTGTATGAATTTCTATAATTAATCTGAATATTGATTAACTTTAATACCGTATTTTGAATTTAATCGAAAACGACGCGGAGTGCCCACCAATATTTACAATACTAAACTAGCTCGAAAGTTCATGAACTACCATAAATAACAAGGGTGTCAAATCAATGACATGTAATTTCGGTAGCTTTGTTCTAATATTAAATATCCACCAACCTGTCCATATGCAAGCACAGTGGCATTGTATCCATCCAGAGCTGCCTCCACCAGCTTCCTGACACAGGTGTCGTAGACGGCTTGCTGGCAACATGACGGTTCAAAGGCGTAGTCGAAGGTAAAGGCACGTTCTGATCCCAGGGCAACTCCACCCTCGCCAGCCGGTCCACCGGCGCGAGCGCATATACCACAACCTTCGACCACCTCAGCAGGTGTCTGTGGACGGATCCTGTAAAAAAAAAATAAACTGTATATATTATAAAAAAATAATGCATCTGCATCATCAACGCCTGTGCCAATTTTATAAAACTAAATCGTTTCTGATGAACTAATTGAGAAAGAACAGTAGGTAAATTTTTCTTCAACGAGGTTCGTGCAGTACCATTATTTTGAAATAAAAGGAGAAAAAAAGAAGAGTCCCGCAGTTTATTTCTGCTACATCTCATTACGTAGGAGAATACAGTCGTGTGATAAATTAAGAGCATAAATGACAGCGTCATAGGTATACTTAATGAAATGCTGCACATGTGAGAAATTTACTTAAGAATTTGCTTACATGATGGAATACAGGGAAGTTTATAATCATCATATGAAACAATCAGAAAAGTACAATTGCTATGCAATGGAAAAAATGCAATGCTACATTCAAGGACTTATTCTGAAAACTTCAAAGAAAATGACCATTTAAAAAGTCTACATCTATAACATTATACGTAAAAGGCCTAATATCATATGAGTGCAATTCTTAATAGGATTTTCAAATCAAGAATTTGGTGTTTGGAAACTTGGAATATTGTTTCGCTTCTTCAAAATTATATTTTCTTTTAGGAAGAAACATGCGATCTGTGAATTTAAATTAAATAATGGTTACAAATAAAGAAAAAACTAAAATCAATGAAAAACTAGCGCCCATTTGTTACAATAACAGCAATACAACAAGCGCCATAGCTGATCGTAAAAGTGAAGCACTTGTTTTGACACTTGATACTATAAACGTGCAGACCGTACAGTACTCACACGACGAGTTTCTAAGTGGCGCTTCTAATTGTAGGATCAGACATAGTCATTATGGCAACGAAATGTTTAACTTCTCCATGAATACGCAAAACGATTTCATGGATCTAAACATCCTCGGAAAATTTGAATGCTTGGAGATATCTTCAAATTCAATGGTAGGAGGAAAAATCAAACAATTCCAAAGACTTGTCTTTGAGCATATTTGCAAAGTCATAAATCGTTTGTGTTACACCCATCTATTCTGCAAGCGTCATACAAGTTAACATATCAGTCACGTACAGTTTTATTGCTATACATCGACATGTAAACGTGAACCAAGTTACAATCTTTACCATGAATAACGACTGTGTATGTAAAAGCCACCCATTAGATTTTCCAGTATAAATAATACTGGAAAATCTAAAAACGGACGTACAAATAGAATTAGTGTTCCTAACATTGTAGTTGAGAAACTGAAAGCAGATGACGATTAAGAAGGTGACAATGCAAGAGTTATTCTAAATCATTCCTTATTTACCTTATCATAAGACTGACGTAACGAATTAGCATAGGATTGCAAACAACATCATAAAATTTTAATTTATGAACGCAACTACATCGCATAGTCTAAGGTGCGTCTCGTCAAGGCCGTCCATAGTGTAAGAAGACTGGATGTTGTGAAGGTATCATTCAAGGTTATCTATGTTTGTTCGTACTTGCTCTTCAGTTAACTGATCAATAATGGTGATAAGGAACCTGCCAGGCTTGTGTAACGTTTCTAAGGAAAATTGAATGTTATTTTTGGATTCTGCGGTTGATAAGGTATATTGTGCTGGGTCACTCTTGTCCGAGCTTGATCAGAAAACCTTTAGTTGTTTTTTTTCTATATTCTATCAAAATGTACAGTTCTAATTCTCGATTAAACCAATTACCTAAAGAAAATCTTTTTTAAGTTTTCTAGTTTAGAGTCAGACTAGTAGTAGTCGTCACGTCGTCGGTTGCCACTTCAATTACGTTTTATGTTAACTGCACTTTTCGGAATTTCATTATACCCAGGACAATAGAGAGTAATAACGAGTTCATAGCTTATTACTGCCTCGTTATTGCACAGCTGCATTGCAGCTAGACCACCACAATTCAATGAGGGAAGGAAGTACCAATTAACAGTCCACAAGGGAACATTACCGACCGTTGCCCGTACGGGCATTCGTCGCGTGCGCAATGTGACAGTTACCACAAAAATGGAAGTGTAATTATATTCATATTTCGAACATGATTCACTTTTTTAAGCATGTGTGTCGCTTGCCAAGATTATTAAGATGATGAGAGGTAATTAGGATCAAATTGCTCATGCTGGTTCTTTTCCTTATAGACATTTTCAAAAAAAATTAGGCCACGAGAAACTATGAGAAGTTCTTATTAGCCTTTGTTAAAATTCAGATGAATTTAGATGCCATTTGGAGAATAATCACGCATGACACATATAAATTACTTCCTTTGTTTTAAAGAAAACTTTTAAAGACCGTATGAACTAATGATGCTGTATATCATACTAAATTCTTCAACCCTATTTCAGGTTTCTATTGGTTCTATTCTTATAATACATCGTAATATGAGGTTAAATATTAGGTTTTTCTCAACGCAACTCTTACAAACATCGCACTTCTTACTTCGTATCCACACCTCGGAGTGCAAATTCCGTGCACTTACATTGTGTGTACAGCGTACAGGGGCTATTGTACTGCAACGTTACACAATGGCAGCACGCGACCGTCCGAGTGGAACACCGACGTCGCGGCACGCCATCTTCCTAATACTCACAGCTAGACTTTCAACACCATTTTTAACATTGCATGCAGCCTACTTCTCAATTACTTGTTTCAAGGGATTAGAGCTTTTCCAATTATTTTCGATACAGTGTTTGTACTAAACTTTTAACATTTTGGAGTCAAAATTGTATTTCATCAGCTCTTTCCTGCTCCTTCCTTAGTTATTCGATTAGAAAGGGCACAACACCGGAAAGGGCATTACATGGAATGATCAAAGTTTTGATGGCTGCGGAACATGGAATTGTTTATAGCTTTGTAACCGCATTAGGCGCTCCAATCATTCGTAAGGACGGAACGCTATTGACAGGGAATAAAGGAAAAGCAACTACAGGATGAAAGAAAATGTTAACTCTAGTAGAAGATTAGCAGACCGAATAACACGAAAACATTAAACAAAATTTCTCCATACTTCAGAAGCACTTAACAAGTGAAAGATGAAAGTACTAAGTGGATAATCGAAGACAGCTTAGCAAAATGAGCAGCAGCACGCAAACACTCTGAAAATAGCGCAGTAGACAAGATGTATGGCAATCAGTGTCTCAAGACTCATGTTCTTAGAAACTATCGCTATTTACAGGCTAGGTAGGACTATATATATTGTAGTTTGTTCTTTGTGATATTACACGTTGTGTCGAGGTACAATGGCAGAACCACTCGCTGTTATTAAACCTTCGCTTATAAACGAATATCAACTACACAGTACACATTGTGCCTGGCCTTTTGTATAGCAATTTGTCGTTCAAGCAATTTATATGAATCAGCTGGTTTTTCACAATGGCTTTAACTGTTACGCTTTACAACGGGAAATGAGTTTAATTAAGACGTTTTCGCATTTCCCACGAGTTCATTGTGTTAGTTTTCGTCAAGGTTTGCTATTCTGTTCCTTTGTTTTGTACGTGCCGATTTATGTAGGACGAGTAGATACATTCATTAATTGGAATCAATAGAAGATTACGAAGTTTTGCAGTTGTTTCTTGTTATACCAACTATTTACTTCAATTTGCTGATTTGTCAGTTGCATTTATTTAACCTGAATCAACCGGGCTATTGAGCTGTGGAAGGACACCTTACCAGTACTGTTTTTTTATTATTTTCATCCAGGATGTAAATGAAACAAATAACGTTTGTTTATCTGCAACAAGTGCATAAGGTAATGTAGAACAGCCGTGGGTTTGTAAGAGCTCAAATATTTAGCGAGTGTCGCCCACCTAACGTTGGGTGGTGGGCAGATAGAAAACTATAACCTTTGAATACATTAGTACTTCATAATGATATTCAATGTGTTGCAATCACCTTGCAATGTTAGAGGAAACAACTAAATACTTTACTTGTTAGTATCTGAAGCTCAGGCTGTAGAGTTAAAAGTTGTTCACGAAAGATAAACCCGTGGCGTTGGTTTCAATTCTTCTTTCTTTATATTTGTAGGTGCAATGAGGTGACTTTATATTATTTTTTCGTTTATTATAAACAAAAAAGGTAGAACTGAGAGTGAAAATCAATGAGTGAAAAAAGGATTTATACAAAAACTGAGACTTTGGAACAAGTAAAGTAGCTATTGAAATAACATTCCTAAAATTAGGTCAGTAAGTTCCAGTATAGATTTACATAAATAAAACAGCAAATACATTTGATAAGTATAATTTTGCTATCTATCTACACACTATCAGTAATGTTTTGATGATATGAATGACTCTACTGATGATCGTATTGATAAAAACATTGCAATATCAAATATGCAATTTCTGTAAACACGTCACGGCAATCGCGATTTCGTTATAAAGAATGTTCGAAAGTAATGGCATGGTAACATTTGCCTTAGGGAAGTGATTAGGTAATTTATAATTACTTTTTTATTAGACGCTGACATTAATCCAAACATTTCCGTGTCCACTGACATATACACAAGTACCTACAACACAAAAGATACAAACAAGTTGCATAAAACGAAATGACATTCTCGTCAGTGCGAGGGTGGCACTCATTTGCACAAATGCAATTCAAACAGCGATCCAAACACCATACATCAAAATACGTGAGCAATAATAGGTCGTAGCACCTCGTAATAAGGACTGGGTCATTTAAATTTTAACGGTTTTTCAAATCACAACATGAACTGAATGCATAATAAACGGAATAATATTTAGCGGCACCGAATCAAAGTGCGATAGAATTAGAACGTTTTCGTTTGAAATTAAACTGTTTTTCAACTGCATAGGATATCGGTGTGGGATGCAGCCGAAAAACAATAAACTAGTTTCAATGTTTAAAAAACATGCTGTATTTAACAATAGACGGATATAGCGTTTGGGAGGTGGCGTCGTCGTACAAACAAATTGATAAATTATAAAACATTCTTGGAATTTTGGAGACTTCTGCTGCCAAGTCTAAATATTTTAACACCATT